CGCTCACGTCTCGGAGGCTGGTCTGCACCACAGCCCGGTCCATGTTGCAGGAGGGCAGGCCGGCTGTGGCTCGGACGATCGCGTCTCTGTCGGGGGCTTTCTGCTCTTGTTTTTTCTACACAGAAACGGAATCAGAGTCAGAAGTTAACGTGAGGGCAACTGTGGCAAGATCATGCAAGTGGGACAGACAGAGCCTGACCCGGGACAGTGGGTCCTCTCTGGAAGCTGGAGAAGGTTCCGGAGGGCTCTGTGCCACCCTCACAAACAGACCACGTGCCGTTCAGGACGCAAGCGCCGCAATCCCCACTCCGTGACCAGCAGTGGCAGGACAGGGGCAGCGCAGACACCCCTCGTGGCCACGGCTGGGCTGGGGAGCGGCCAACCTCTGAGGAACACAGAACTGGGTCCCACGAGCCACGGGAAACACCTTTTGCTCCTTCTGACCCGCCCCCCACGCAAGGGAAAAGGAATAGACGGCAGAACTGATGAGAAAAATAGGGCAGGAAACGAACTGGATGACGGCACCGACTAACTCTGAGACCGAGAGCGAGCACTGCGGAGGGAGCAGCCCCGCGGCCAGGCCGGGAGCAGGGCACAGCAGGGGCAGGACGAGCTCCTCCACCACCTGCTCACCCCCATGCCCGGCCTCTGAGCAGGATGAACTCACTCTGGGGCCGGTCTGTCGCACGGCACAGCCCCTTCAAGAAAAGGTGCCCGGCCCTGGCCGGTTCGGCTCAGTGGATAGAGTGTCGGCCTGCAGACTGAAGGGTCCCGGGTTCGATTCCAGTCAAGGGCACATGCCCAGGTTGTGGGCTCAATCCCCCGTAGCGGCCGTACAAGAAGCAGCCAATCAACGATTCTCTCTCATCATTGATGTTTCTATCTCTCGTTCCCTCTCCCTTCCTCTCTGAAATCAACACAAATATATTTAAAAATAAATAAATAAATAAAGAAGGTGCCCATTGGCGGGCCCGACCTAACCAGGCTGGCCTTGGGCCAGAGGGAGGCAGCCCAGGAGACGCTCTGCTGCCGGTCTGAGGATACGGGGCTGTGTGGCAGGCACGCAGCAGCCCCAGGAGCTGGGAGCAGCCCCGGCTGACGCCAGGAAGGAGTCGGCGCCTCAGCCCCTCAACTGTGAGCCACCAGACGCGGACCTGGCAGCCTGGGAGTCGCGGTTTTGCTGGGAAGTCTGGGCAGTGATTGGTGCAACCGGACGCAGATGCAGACCTAGAGGCTCAGAGGCCCTGACACAAGAGGGTCCGATGGGGGAGGGGAAGGCCGGGCTGCACACAGGCCTGGAGGCGGCTGGAGCAGACTACCTGGAGGGCACCCCCTGGGAAGTGAACTGGCAGGGCCTCACACCCGGACCCCGCTTTCTGAGGGGTTTACCAATTCTGGTGAGGAAGTGAAAAATCAGTGATATGCCCGTAGGAACCAGACAAAAGGACGAGGCAGCTCCTGGCGCTCGGAAGAGGGAGCTGCATGACAGGGTGATCTGGGTGCGTTTACTCGGGGGGGAAGAGGCGGCTTACTGACAGCACTGACAGACCCGACTCTGCTTCAGAGCGCCATGATCTGACCCCAGGGGCGGGGCGGGGGGACCAGATCTTCTGGAGCCAACAGGGTGACACCGATCGCGGGGGTGGAGCTGGGGGAGCGTTAAGGGAACAGGTGAACGAGGTCCGCGGCTGTGGCCTCCAGGATGCCTGGCAGGTGGGGAGCAGGCTACCCTTCCTAGGAGATTCATGGCACTATTGGACTTCTACGATGCCTGCTGTCACTTAAAACGAATAATAACCCATAAAACATACCAACATCACAACGTTCATGCAGAGAAAGGGGCTGCAGGTGGCAGCGAGCTGGCGGAGGCTGAGGACGGCCGTCCGCCCACAGCTCCCGACGTGGCAGACCCGCAGGCAGAGGCAGGCCCAGGCCTGTCTCCCAGAGATGGGCTGAGCGGCCTGCGGGGGGGCAGCTGTGTTGGCAGATAAGAAGGGCCACCCAGAGGGCCCCTCCCTCGCCACCCTCCCAGGAGACCCTGCAGCAGTGCCGTGCCCTCCCGGCCCCATGCCCAGCCGCGTCGGCCTGCTTCCTCCCAGGGAACGCTCTCCCCAGCACTTCAGAGTGTGAATAAGAAACTCTGTGTCTGAAGATGAGGAAGGAAAAGCTGTGAAGTTAACGTGGCTTGGCACCAGGCACAGGTCTGGACAGGGACCACGTGTACCGGCCTCCTGCACGCAGCATGCAGCTTCGGACGGCTGTGCACACCTGCTGAGTTGAGGTCCCAGAGCGAAGGCGCAGGTGCATGCGAATCCCAGGGACCTCGGGTTCTGCCCCAAGATGCAGATGAGACAGGCACCGGGCCCTCCAGGAGTTCACTCAGTGACGCCGACACGCACCCCATCCCTCTGGAGTGGTGAACGTGCCCCCCACCCCATGTGTACCCCTTGTTTTGTGGGGTGTGGTCAGCGACGACCCGAGCTGTCAGCACGGGTTTGGGGGCACACACGGCACACAGTGAATTTGCCGGGGACTCGGCACGTAGGCTCCACCACGAGAACATCCACACGCTCCTCCCGCTCCAGCCTAAACGCAGAGCCAGGTGGTCCAGGGCCAGTCACGTGACCAGCAACCGGACAGGCCTCGGTCACTCAGCTCAGCCCAGACAGAACCCCTTGTGCCCACTTCGCCTGCCTGTGAACGACTGGCACACAGAACGTGTGTCCCCGAAGGCTCGGCGGGGGGGGGTGGGAGGCTCTCACTCACAAAGCTCTCAGTCCCACTGTGAGGCTCACCTTTTCCTCGGCCGAGACGTCGGCCATCTTAGGAAGCGGAGATGGCGCTCGCTTTTTCACCAACAGCAGGACATCTAGGGAGAAACAGCCGTCAAGTTGGTTATGGTTTCATGTCCACAAAGTAGCCGCTGGCCACGGACAGAGAAGCAGGGCTCCCCCGGGGGCCTCCTGCCCAGGCATCCACACCAGCCCGCCTTCCCTCAGTGCTCACGTCTGCACGCCCCTGGCTCACACACAGGCTCCAGGCTCGGCAAGAGCCGGCTGTGGGTCACAGAGGTCACGGGTGCCCAGGAGGCACACTCAGCGGCTCCCGACAACCGTGCAGAAAACTGGGGGAATCGTGCACAATGTTCTCATTTCAAGGGGCCACTGGAAGTCTGGGAGGTTGGAGGCGCAGTCAGTTCAGCCACAGCCCAGTGTGGGGTCAACTCCCACCTGGTCTGGCCTTGACCTCCACACTCGATGGGGTCAGCAAACGCTTCCAGTGCTTTCAGGACAGATTTAAGGGCATCCAGGATCCAGACCACCCTTTGAGATAGAAAACCAAGGTTTTGCCCGGCAGGTGTGGCTCAGTGGTTGAGTGTCAACCTATGAACCAGGAGGTCACGGTTCGATTCCTGGTCAGGGCACAGGCCTGGATTTCGGGGTCGATTTCCAGTGTCGGGTGTGCAGGAGGCAGCCGATCAATGATTCTCTCTCATCATTGATGTTTCTCTCTCTCTCTCTCTCCCTTCCTCTCTGAAATCAATAAAAATATTTTTTTTTAAAAGAAAGGAAACCAAGGTTTCTTCCCCAAATGCCTCTGGACAGAGAACAGCGAGTGAGCGACAGAGGGTGTGTAGAGGAGGAGCAGCTCCCGGGGGCTGAAGCAGCCGCCGGACATCCCAGCAGCCTGAATGGAGCGGCCGCTCTGCACACCTGCGTTCTGCTTCGAAACAGGATTTACAATGGAGTCACCTTTCCCTTCGGACGGACACTGCCTGTTCGAGTCGTTTCCTTGTTCTCACAAACATCCCGCCACACACGCTGGTTTGAGTAAAGGGAGAAGACGACCCGGTCTCCCGCTCCGACCGGACGTGGCCCCTGACGGCCTCTCCTCTGGGCCCGCCCGCCAGGGCTCCCGAGGCGCTTACCGTGGTCCTGGACGTTCTCCTCCGCGATGGTCTTGGCGTCACTCAGCACCCGCTTGGAAGCAGCGTGGATCAGCTTGTGTTGGGTGACACTTTTGGGGTCTTCTAAGCTCCCATGAGCACACTCCGGGGAAAATCAAATATTTCAAGATAGAAAACAAGTAAATAGTAATGTTAGCAAAAGAGAGCCTGGACCACAAGCCACACAGGAACCTCATGGGCTTCCTCACCAGCCCAGCAATGAAATGCCACCACCCCAGTCCCGGCCCGCGACCTGTCCACCACCCCAGCCCCGGCCGCGATC